GCCTGCTCCTGAGTTACCCCTGGAGAGCAGGAACTGTCTCTTCTCCATCCTCCTGCCCGTTGCTCCAGGGCTCAGTTAATCATATTTAGCTCAATCCTACTGACTCCTCTCTTTGGAAACGCCTGCTTTTCTCCTGGCACTGGGAGGATTTATGTCCTCTCCAGGCCTGGGACTGCTTTGTCTGGCCCTCATTTAGTGTAGTCCTGGGGGTTAAAGCATCCTGGTCGGCAGGGGAGGAAGCTGAAGCAGGAGTTTGGGAGAGAAACCTGTTTCCTAAGGTGCTTTGCATTGCAACAGCAATTTAGACCCTCCAAAATCTAAACAGCCACTTAAACAGCAATTTAGACCCTCCAAAATGCCAAGGAACCAGACCAGTTGCTTGGCCACCTGTAGATAAATTTGACAGGTGTCTTTATGGAGAAAGAGGGATCTACCAGAGCAGAGGGGTTGTGACACCGAGATGGATGAGCTGAGTAAGGGATGATGGCAGAAAAGGGACATCACGGTTCTAGGACATGTCAGGAAGGATGTTCCCAACAGAAATAAGGATGGATTTGTGGCTGGATGACCAGGTACTGGTGTGACCTTGCTGGGAGAATGTGGTTACTTCAGTCTAGGGATAATAAATCCAGCCCAGAGCTGAGGAGGGGTGTTTTATGAGGCGAGCCTTGCAATATGTAGCAAAATAAGGCTGGAAGAGAGTTGGCAACCACCCTTTCAACACATACCTGGTGATGCTCGTGCCTGGGGGAGCAGCCTTGGGCATCCTGCATCCTCTGCAAGTGCCTTATAAGAGGAAATATGCCTGTAAAATATAATTACCCCAACTGGGGAGCAGCATTATGTGCAGCACAGGCTGGGGGGGGTTCCAGTCTGTAAATAATTTCCCCCTGATGCAACTACAGAGATGCATCTCTGCCCTCTGGTCCCCATTGCCTCTGGGGTACAATTGTGAATATGGTGCCAAAGAAGTTCCCATAAGATTAATTTCTTGTCCTGCAGATTGCTTTCTTATCCCACTATTCTTTTTTAAAAGTTAAATTACGATGGTTATGTCACTGTGATTAATTAAGGGCTTTTCCCCAGCCTGGAAATATCCCGAAGCCTTTGGCATTGCTTGAAATTCCAATTATTCGACTCCAACCCAACCAAACAACAGAGTGGAAACGTGGGGGGAAAGCCAGGGCAGGCTGTCACCTTAATGAGCTGAACCCCAGGGGCTGTGCGGGTGCCAGGGCCAGTCATGTGAGATGAATGTCACCCCTGGTTATAAATAGGGTGGCAGGAGCCACTGTGCCCGTGGATGTGGGGACACGGCCCTTAACCCTTTCCTTTGCCCTCCCACCGGGGTGGACACTGCAGCCTCTGCAGCATGCCCTTCCTGCTCCACCAGTGCGTGGAAATCCCTGAGGGATTTCTGTTTTATGGAAAATAAACCACAGCTGCCGTTGGGTGTCGGGCCGGGCTTTGTCCTAGGACGGGGTTCCGGTGGCCAGGTCACCCTGTAACGAGCTCAGGCTTATTCCAGGGAAACAGCTCCAAAATCTCCACTGCCAAATCCCAGATTCCAGCCCTCCTGTTGTTTCAGGAGTCAACCTATAAAGAGACAGTGCCAAATTCCCACTGCCTGTGGCTGTTACGTAGTTAAGCCAAGGAGTCAACATCCCCTCTGGTTTAGCCCTGTTTAGGTTCTATTCCCTCCTCCTAAGTATAAGAATTATCTCTGTTTATAAATAGATTATCTATATGATTTCTGTGATATATATATAGCTATAGTATGTTTATGTGATGTATCTATAATATATATATGATGCATATATAGATATAGCCCTGTTTAGGCTGTGTGTCCCTCTAGTAAGTACAAGAATTATCTACATGCATAAAGCAATATATTATCTATATATTATGTATCTATAAAATATGTATTATGTAGCTTTATATCATGTATATATGTAGATATATATTAGCATAGAACCATAGAATTCATATATAGTAGAATAATATATACAATATATATATTCATATATAATATACAGAATAATAGGATATATATAATAAAATATATAACATAGAATATATAATAGAATGCATTATTATAAAATAATATAATAAAAGAATATAATACATAACAATTCTATAAAATGTATTTAGAGATACACTGTACATGTACAGAGAGGAGGGAGGTACTCACAAGCAACTGCGAAACAGATGATTCACAATTTTGGTGGAATAATTTTTGCTTGTGGGTTTTGTCTATTCTCTCGTGTTTTCGTTCAGCATCTTAAAACTGAACGAACCATTTATTTAAGGCTCAATAAGATAAGGAAAAAAGATAATTTATTCCTTCTGGGACGGAGATAAAAATAATATATCCTGAGAAAAGTGCAAATAGAGACAAATGCAAAGAGGTAAAAGGCAGGAAATCCTTTATTGAAGGGGAAAAGGCAGGACCACAAACAGTCTGTTTTCAAAATTAAAAACAAATACAAACAAGAGGCTAAAACCTGGAAAATAATATTTTTTTCCCCCCTCCCCTTAAAATGCAAGTCCCAAGCTTAATTTTGGTTGGATCTGTTACGCTCACACAGTTCAGTTGGTGCTCCAGAGAGGAGGGAGACACCAGAGACCAGAGAGGTTAAACCATGAGCAAAGACATCCCTTCTCTACCCCACTGCAGATTTGGAGAGGGGATGTAGGAGCAGCATGTTAAAACACAGTCTTGTTATTTTTTATCTCTTTTTTTTCATTTCTTTTTTTTTTTTCTCCTTTCCAGACAGCTACTGTACAAAACCAAACAGAAATTTATAATAAATACCTAACCCAAGAGGCTCAGTACATTGCTACAATCCTTCACTGAAGGGAAACATATATATATACATATATATATATATATCCTAATATATAACCTCTTTGATTTAAATCAGCATAAAGGTTACGAGTTTCTACAGAAGCCTAGGGCAAAAATCCCACTTACCATCACCCAGACCCCACACCTCAACTGAGCAGGGTCCCCATCCTCCTCACTGGGAAAACAGCAGGATTTGCCCACAACAGGGAGCTCTTAGGAAGCTCAGGGATTATAAAAAAACTGGGCACGTCTGCTGAGTGATAAATACAGGCAGTTTCCTTGGCACTGGCTCAGCCTGATATTCCTGCCCCGTCCCAAATGCTGGTTGTGACACTGGAGAGGAGACACACGCTGGCTTGGAGTTGGAAGCCTCGTAGACTCAAAGAGGGGAAAAAAGAAAACAACCCCGAACTGAGAGGCTGCAGGACTTTAACATCCAGCTATTTGTTGGAGCTTAAATTCCTGGAGATTAATTAGCAGATGCAGAACATTGCCTGAAGGTGGATCTGCACCACAGCCCAAACAGCTCTGCATCCAAACTCTGCATCTGGCCTTTAGTTTTCCTTCCTTCCCTGAAAAAAAAAAAAAGGAGCCAAGACCTTGGTACCCTCAATCCTGGCCTGCAGCTCCCTTGGTTTTGACAGGAATCATCTATGGGAGATAAACCAGGAGTATTTCATATTTTCAGGTAAATGGTCAGGTTTCTGGCATGGCTTTAGGGGAGCAGCTCATCCCATCCTAATCCCATCCCATCCCATCCCATCCCTGCCTGGACAGTGAGGAAAGGGTCTCACATGAGCTTAGCTCAGGCAAAAGGGACAAGGGAAAGGATTGGCTCTGTAATGACGAAGGGGGAAGCTCCGACATCAAAAATTCCAGCCCTTCTCCCCTTCCTGCACCCACTGGAAATTCAATATTTTGCTGCCAGAAGGGAAACCAAGGAAGGGTATGAGGGTGGAGACTGGAGACACCAAATTGTCTGTGACAGCAAAACCTTCCCAAATTCCATCCCCGCTCTCCAGGAACTGGCTGGTGCCAGAACATGGATTGCTTTGGAAAGGGCAAAGTTTGGGGGCTGAGCAGCCTCTGTGCTGGGGCCAGGCAGCAGCCAGGCTGGGGAGAGGGGTCTGGTTGCTTCCTGCTGGGAAAGAAGAGCTCCAGCCTCGCCAGGCTCGGTTTTGGACTGAGGATTGCTCAGGGAAGGCTGGAGCCGGTGCCAGATCCGAGCGACTTCAGTATCCCGGGAAAGTGGAGAGTGGCATCAGTGACCCCTGGCATCATCTGCAGGGCCTGGGCTCATCCTGCTGCAAGCCAAGTTAGCAAATTAACTCCAAAATTCAAGCAGAGATAAAAAAAAAAAAAAAATGAGCCTGCAGGGCCCTGAAAGCAAAGGATGGGAGAGGAAAGGCTGGCACACCAGACTGTCCGCTCCAGAGGGGGAATGGGATATGGTGATGGGCATTTCACAGTCCGAGCACTGCAGAATTGGGAATTATTAATCCTCACAGCAGCCCTGTGAGCCAGATCAGGTCTAATTAAGCTTTGGTTTTAAAGCTGGGGAAATGAGGACATGGGTGGGGCAGCAGCTCCAGGAGTAACTGCAGGTGTTGGGGGGTGTTTGGAGACAGAGGTTTGTAAGTTTGTAGATTATCAATTCAGCAGAAACCACCATGAACAGTTCTCCTGTCTAACTCATGCCAGGATCTCATCCTCAGCTACTCCTGCTCCCATCCAAACAGGCAATTTATCTCCCAGGTTAACCCACAGCTGATAAAACACTTCCCGTGTTCAAGGACACCCACGCTGCTGCAGGGAGGGGACGGCAACCCATTCCACGCCTTTCGCACAGGGATCCCAATTTCATCAGCCAAGCCACCCACCCTGGACCTCCCTGACCTGCAGCTGGGACAGGGTGATGGCAAACCCAGGCTCCACATCTTATCCTGCGCTAAACCCCGAAAGGAATCTGCAACCGCTTTCAGCGACAGCTCTTTGGAAACACCCTACGCTTATTTTTCCCTTTAAATTACAACTTGCCTGCGAGCAGCCAGCCAGAGAGAAAGGAAGAAAAGAAAGGAAAAGAAGTGATTCCTCCCCGTTCTGCTGCCGTTGTTCCCCACTCTGAGGTAGACATCAATGGGGTGAGGATGAACCACCGGAGGGAGAGCGGCTGGCTGGCTGGCAAGCAAGCCTACGGCATCCTCGCTGTCCTGCCCTGGCATGGTGAGATCCCACGGCATTCCCAGCTCCGTGGATTCCAGCGTGGCTCAGCACTGCCGCAGGACACAGGTGGCTGTGGCTGCTGGTGGCCCCGGAGAGCTGCATTTCTCCGGGGCAGTGATTTTTCCAGCGTAATCGATGCAGGAGGCATTGCGTGTCCGCACGCCCTCGCCGCAGGTCTGGGAGCAGGGGGACCAGGGGCCCAGGCGCCAGAGAGGGCACGGGATGTCTCCACAGGGCTTGATGTCCTCGGGTTTGAGGGATTTGTTGCAGGAAGAGGAGGTCTGACCCTCCACGTCCCGGCAATCCACCGTCCGCCGCTGCCAGCCCGAGCCGCACGTCTTGGAGCACTCGGACCAGTCCCCCAGGACCCACTGGGAGTTCAACATCGGGCGGATGACATTGGCCGACTTCTTCTCTTTGCCCTTCTGCCTGCTGAAAGGGACGTCCTTGGGGATGAAGAAGGTGTACTTGACTTTGGGCGGGAAGAGCTCGCTGGCGATGGTCAGCAGCTGCACCGTCAGGGGCTCCGGGAGCTGCCGGAAGCTCTGCAGCCTCTCCAGGGTCGTCATGGAGCCGCTGTACTTCAGGATGGTTCCATTAACGAGGATGTCCTGCTCCACGGCCGAGATGGCAAAGTCTCCGTTCAGCAGGTACTTGCCCTCCAGGGTCCTCAGGGCCAGGTAGTTCCCGTCGTGCCGGACCCCGCGGTGGCTGCGCTGTTTGATGTCGATGTTGGTGGCCCCAGCCGGGATGGTGACGATGTCGTTGTAGCCGTATCTGCACGGGGCAAAGGGACGCTTATTTTTCAGGACTTACAAAGACAAGACCCACACAGTGAATAGCACTTGGTTTCATGACTCTGAACCCGTCTCTCCATAACCCCAACCACTCCAGAGCTGGAGATATTGCAGATGTGCCAGATGTGGGCTCAGGTGGGAGATTTCACTGAGTTAGACGGGAAAATGAGCAATGAAATCAAATGAACAGCCACGTGGCAACCAGCCTCAGTGGGAAATTCTCCTTGCTCCTTCCCTTTGGAAATGGGTGAAGCATTTGGGACTGAAAGCCTGTCACTGGTGATGCTGATGTAGAACAGCAGAATAGGAGAGAGCACCTTGCACCCTCAGCATCTTTGGAAGGGTTCTGCAGCCACCACTACATTGCAGAAGCAATCCCACTGGAGGACACAGGGGACATTCCCATGCCAGGGAAGCATTTCCCTGCTAAGCCAGCCAGAGCCTATCCCTGGAGCTCCAGAGACAGCACCCTGAAGGCTTCAGCACCGGTGCCCTTGGCACTGTGACTCCCACCGTGGGGCCCCAGGACCGCTGTCCATGCGTCCCTGTGGTGGATGCTGCGGTCAGTAATAAGGTTCAGAGTATTTTGAAAAAAAGGCTTTGAGTCAAACTCTGCTCTCCGTCATCCTGGCCTCCCTCACCCTGATCTCAATGGGATCTCTTCTTGGCTGTAGCTCCTGCACTAATCTCCCTTTAGTCAACCGCAAACAATTCATAGGAGAGTGGAAGCCCCATTTCAGCTGGTTCCCTGGAAGGAAACCATGTAGGAAATCTAATTTGCCTGTGTGAGTCACCTCTCCACATGGAACTGGACGCGTTGGGCTTTTATTACAATCCCTCCAACAAACGCCTGAACTTCTGCTCTTTGGCAAAGCGACGGAGACATTGGGCGAGGGAAGTGGCCTCGGTGCCCATGATCCAGGATTCCAATCCATCCCCAAGCCCAGGGGAAAGTTATTGAACTATTTATATCACACATCAGCCCTTGAAGATGTGTCCAACTCCCTGCACTGGAGTGCAATGTGCATCGTAAACTCCCCGGGGCACATTTATGTGCACTGGTGTTCCGAACCCATCACATTAATTGTTACTTCAGGAAATAAACTCAGCTTGGCTTGTGTAAAGCTGCCCAAAAATAAACTGAGTGTAAGCCCTGGGGTCTGGGGTGGAGCCCAGGCTCTTGCAATGCCACCTGGCTGAGGGTGCTGGCACAGAGTCTTAATATTCCTAGCCTAGCACTGCAGCCATAAAAAAGGACAATGAGAGGGGATGCTGTTTTTTCTCCCCCACCTATCCCTGCAGAACCCTTCTCCCCGGTGCCTTACTTGGATCTGTTGAGCGAGCCGGATATTTTCCTGCACGTGGAGCCATTGCCACCACACACCCCACACTTGTCCAGCTTCTTGGAGGACCCAACGACGTGGTCACAGCCAGCCTTGATGCACTGCCCGTGCACACAGATGGAGAGGGTCTCGGGGCCACACAGCGTCCCATCAATCACCTGGGAAAGAGGGGTGTAGAGCAGCAATCAGTGGGTGAGTTCTGAAACGGGGTACACGGGGGTGATTCCCATCCCCAGGTATCTTACTTTGGCCTCAAAGACTTTGAACTCGCTCCTCCCTCGGGCTCTGCAGAAGAGCTTGCACCGGTCCCGGGGGGACACTCCTGCGTACTTGGGCACCCACTCCAGGCGATTCCCTTCCAGATCCGTGAAGTTGTAGCTGTTGTACTTCTCACACTGCTGCTCCCGAAAGCTTTTCCCTGAAAGGGAAGGAGAAACACAACTCAAAATTGCGGGGAGCCAGCAGGAACCACTGTCCTTGGCGGTCAGGGAGACGTGGAAGCGAGCTGAGGAGAGGGGGAGTGAGCTGAGGAGCGTGTGGTGAGCATGCAGAGGAGGGATATCACAGAGAAGGGATCCCACACACTTTCCACCCACCAGAGAGAGTCACAGCCCCCCCCCCCCCCCCCAAAACCACGAATATTCAAGGAAGAGCAGAGCAATCCCTGGCGATGGGTTCTGGAGGAACAGAAGCGGGAGGTGAGCGTGCATTTGGCGGGCACTCCTTACCATCTGGTGGGCACTCCTCGGTGTGGCAGGACTGGTACTTGGTCCTCTGGCCCTCGCAGTAGCTCCCACCGTGCTGGGGCCTGGGGCTGTCGCAGTGGCGGTGGGAGAACTGGACGCCTCCGCCGCAGCTCCGTGAGCAGGAGCCCCAGGGGCTCCAGGGGCCCCAGCCACCGTCCACCGCCGGCTGCAAGAGGCCACCAGCAACTTATTGATCCACTCCGAGCCTGTCCGTGCCCGGCTGCTCAGCCCCAGGGTGAGCAAACACTAAAATCTGCCCCCAGCCCTGAGCCAGAAAAGTACTTCTGCACTTGAAGCTAATACTGACTTCCCTCAGTCTGTTCACGTGCTTGAAGTTAAGCTGGGCTTTAAGACCTTTGCTGACTGACTCTGAAGCTGCTGCTAATTCCCCCAGCAGGGCAAAAAGTGATGATTTAATTGCAGATCTGCACTGCTTGTTCCGGGTCAGACTCGCCCGTACCTCAGTAACAGACTTTACTTGTGAGCTGACTTGCCAGTAATAAATGTTAATGAAGGAGAGGCATCCAGAAATAAAGCAGCCAAATCCAAAGCCAGTCAGGGTAGGTGTCAGAGGTTTGGGAATCCCAAAGGGCCAAGCCCCAGGCAATCAATCCCCAGCCCCCCATTACCTGGGGTTTCAGGACATCCTGTGGCACACAGCGCCCGTCCCAGCACAGCCCATCAGCTTTGCAGGGCGTCCCGTCAGCCCAGGGCAGGCTGCCGTTCTTGGTGTGGCACAGGGGCTCCCCACTGCCCGTCCTGCACCACAGCTGGGCACAGATGTCCTGCTCCGTGGTGTTGGGGCAGTGCTGGAAGTCCTTCCCAAAGATCTGCTGGCATTGCTGGTCCAGGCTGTACAGGGCTCTCTGACCGGGCAGCTCGGCAGGCAGGGCCAGCGCCTCGGCTGGGGCGTCCAGCAGGCAGTCACCTGGGGAAAGTTCAGGAATTAGGCTGGAGTTGGACCATCAGGGCTCGGATTGCACCAAGCAGGGCACCCTGAGCCTCCTCTGTGGTCTGGTTTGAATCCCCCTCCGCCCCACACGCCCCTCCAGGTGTTGCAGAGAGCCTGGACAATTAACGAGGAGGTCATTTGGAGTGCTGGGGCTGCTTAGCTGAGCCTTACCGTGCCCTCCATCCAGGAACTCGGTGAGGTACATGGCACTGCAGGGGGACCAGGGCTGGGTCTTGTTCAGGTGGATGAAGAGAGCAGCCATCATGTGGTGCTCGCCCAGGGGGCCGAAGAGCCGCTCGCAGTTCTTGGAGTCATCGTGGGGCATGCTGAGCACGTGGCCTGGGGGGGCAGAGGGCACTGTCAGTGCAGCCCCCCCAGCCCAACTCCTGGTACCAAATAAGGTACCAAACAGCTTCTATTGCTGCAAAAGCCGTTTGCTTCCAGAAATCAAAAGGAATAAAAACCCACTTGCTCCATCTCAGTGGTGTGCTGGACAAAGCAGCACAAGTTCATACAATCCCAAAATGGTTTGGGTTAGAAAAAAACTTGAAAGGTCATCTTGTTCCACCCCCTGCCATGGGCAGGGACACCTTCCACTAACCCAGGTTGCTCCAAGACCTGTCCAACCTGGCCTTGGACACTTCCAGGGATCCAGGGGCAGCCACAGCTTCTCTGGGAAACAGTGCAGGAATGACAAACCAAGGGAAAGATGTGCTTGATTCCACATCTGAGCTCATCACAACAGGTAAATCATAAAATCATTAAGGCTGGAAAAGACCTCCAAGATCATCAAGTCCAACCTTTGACTGATCCCCACCTTGTCACTAGACCAGAGCACTGAGAGCCACATTCAGTTGCTCTCTGAAGGTCTCCAGGGATGGAGACTCCACCACCTCCCTGGGTAGCCCCTTCCAATGCTCGACAACGCTTTCAGTGAAGAAATTCTTCCAGAACTGGTGTAAATGCACCAATTTACAACAATTTGGGTACTTCTAAGTGCTCCTGCTGCTGCAAACCAACTTCTGCCAGCGCCAGAAGCTCCCCACGGTTTGGCCGCTGGGAGATGCTGGTGCTGGGCTGTGCTATAACCCCTGTCAGCAGCAGGGCTGGAGAAAGCATCCTCCCCCTGGGGGAGGGAGGTGTTACCCAGTTCATGAGCCAGGGTGTAGGCTGCCTGCAGGCCCTCGTCCTCGATCACCGAGCAGCTCTTGTTGCGGTCGCACATGGTGCCGATATCGGCCACGCCCAGCGTGTCGCAGCTCTGGTGCCCGCAGAAGTCCTGTTTGGGAGCAGCACCGAGGGGGTCAGGCAGGGTGAAGGGAGTGCCACCTTCAGCTCCAACATCTCTGTGGGCAACCCACTGGTGGTCTGCACCCCAAATGACACCACCCCCCTGCAAGCGCTTTGCTGCCATCTCCATTATTTGCGTGGTGGGGCATCGACCTCCACGGTCGACCCTCTTCTCTCCCTCCTTCTCTCTCCCACCTTGACCACCCTACTCCCAGAGGGGTCCCCAGGGATGCTGACCTGTCTGGTGAGCAGGATGGCTGTGTCGTAGTGCTCCGGGTGCCGGTCGCTCAGCGGGTTGAACCTTTGCTGCCAACTGCAGAAGTTCCTCAGGGTGAGCCCCCCGTTGTCCGACACCTCCGGCCCCGCCGCCGCCTCCTCCACCACCAGCACCTTCACCACCACCAGGTTGATGGGGTTTTTCAGGCTGGGGTGCTTGTAGATTTGAGCAGCCATGGACATCAGGGTCAGGACGTGGTTCTACAGGGAAGGAGAGGGGCAGGCAGGGCCTGGGTAAAACATTTGTTGTGAGGCTCTTTTTTTTTTCTCAGAAAGGAGAAATCAGCCTCGTTTATGAAGCCCATCACACCCAAAACACGAGCTGATGGACTGAGTGCTGCCTTTCTGAAGTGATGCTTTACACCCTGTAACAACAGAAGGGACAGGCAGGACAAGCCCATCCCTGCGTCCCCTTCTCCAGCCACTGTGTCTTACCTGCCCTTTGCACCCAGAAATCCCTCAAGAAGAGTTTTCTTAAGGAAAACCTCTGTTCTGGAGAGTTCCCTGCACATTCCCCAAAGCACTAACCCTGCCCCGGGGGTGGGAAACACTTCCCAGATAACATTCCACTGGTCACAGCCTTTGAACCCGACATCCTTGGCGACTGACTGGGCCCAAAACACTCTCTGGCAGCCAAGTCTTTGCCCCTCATCATCCCCTGCTTGGAGACTGGGGTGACCAGGGATGACTTCATGTGTCAGCCTCGCCAGCGATGTTTACGCTGATGTAAACGTCTTATCGGAGCATCGAAATTCCTCCTCTGCTTGGCACTGCTCACAGCCCCGAGTCAGGGGAAAAAAATGCACCTATTACACAACACAGTGTTGGGAAAGAGAAAGTGGCTTCTCTCCTCCCCAGACGGATTCCACCCCGCGGTCTCAATTCGGAGCCTAATTAGGCTGGAGGGACTCAATGGGAGCCCTCTCTGATGGCCGAGTTTCACCCAAAATTCACCATTCCCAGAGCAGAGCTGGCTCCCTGTGCTCATCCATCACAACGCTGCCAGGACAATGCCATTTTCTTCGCAAATGAGGGAGATGCTGAGGGAGATACAGCATATTTGCTGCTTCCCCCAGGGCACTTGTGGCTACTTTAAATTATTCTGCCACATTTTCTCCCACCACTGGCAGCTCCGTGTAAACAGATGTTTCGTTTCAGCAAGACGGATCCCAGTGCTCATTATCCAAGGGCAGGCCACAGGGAGGCTGATGGGAGCAGGGAATAGACTGGTTTATTTAGACTGGCCAGATCTCCCCGACATGACTCACATCCCAGCCCCAAACACGCAACAAATGTCATGGCAAAGTCACCGCCAGGGCAAGAAACCCAGGCGAGATCCCCACGAGTGGCTGCTCCGTGAGCTGGGGGAATTGTTTACCCTCTAGGGGAAATCCACTGGGCTACTTCCTAAAAATATCAGAAAGCCTTCCTAAAATTAGGCCCCTGAAGGTCTAGAAGGATGCTCGGTGCTGGAGCATCATGGGATCATCCATCATTTCCAAGGGATTAAATCCAGCTGTATCTTTTTCTAACCTGTTACAGGTTTCTTTCCATCCCAGCAGTTTTCACCTGGGAGCTCTCAGTTCCTGCCACAAATCCCCTGGGACACTGACCCTCACATCCTCAGAGTTACATCCTCAGAGGTACAAGAAACTCTTTCAGCAGCAGGAGCAGAGGGACTTGGAAAACATCCGTCCACCTTCCCTGGGTCTGGAAAGCCAACACGGAAAGCAAACTGAACAAAACAGCTCTTTAGTGCAGATTAAAAGGTCAAATTCACTTGTTCCACCATCTGGTGTCTATTTATACCCATCCCTGGCCTGTGCAGGCATTGGTTGGGTTTCAGATGGACCCCGACTGCTCCGGGGAGAGCAGCAATCCACCTGCTCGGCTTGGCCAAGGGTTTGGAGTCATGGCCAAAAACAAATTATGGGATCCCCAGGGCTCAGGAGAGGCCAACTGAGCACTTTTGGCCAACAAATGGCTGTGGAGGAGCTGAATCCCGCTCATCCCAACCTCCCTGTGCCTCTGCAAACAGGCTCTGGCTTGATAAGCCTCCTAGGGGAGAATGTACCTTCTCCAGAGTTTCCTTCCCACCACGCAGGCTGTGGATGTGGGTGTTGGGATCAGATGCAGGGCAGCATTTTGGGTGAGGTTTGGGGAGCCCAGAGCTGCAAACAGACTGGTTTCTGCCTCCTTGCAAGGCACTACAGCCCTGCAGGCACAAGGAGCTTCCCTGCCATTTCCAACCAGGATCCAGGGAGATCTTGGCAGGATTTCTGTCCAGCTGGTAAACACAGCTGGAAAATCAGCCTCTTACCTGCTCTGGGGGGAGAGGACACCAGTGTGAGCCAGAGAGGGTCAGGGAGCATCCCTCCTCTGCCCCAGGTGTCCAGGCACTATGCAGGGTGATGTTCCCTCAACATCTCCCACCTTGTTTCTCCCCAGCTGCAATCCTTGGTTCCTACTGCTCCCAAGAAGATCAAATTCCACCCATTCCACCACCTGCCCCCTGTCCAAAAATGAGGAGGGGATGCCTTTTTTCTGCATCACAGCAGCTCCAAAACCCCTCCTACCACAGCACTGTTGGGTCTGGGAGAGCCCTGAGGGAGGTACTGCCCTACAGGAGCCTTCCAGCAGCAAACAACACAGGCAGAGGGAGAGTGAAGGGAAAAATAAATCCAAATCAGAGCCAGGGGAACTGAAGTGGTTGCTTTTAACCTCAGAACGTTGAAAGATTTCACTTTCTCATACAGGCCCTTGCAAAACCTCTGCTTACATTCCCCTTCGTGGGAACCATTCAGAAGCTGGAGTCTACAGAGATCCCCAAACCGTGGGGTTTATTTTAATTATTATTATTATTATTTTGGTGTGTGAAACTGCTCCTACACAGCCAGCATTACTGTGGTGTGCACAGAGTGATGTAGTATCACTGGATCCACCCAGAACAGGACGGCAGGGAGCACCCATGGAACACCCCAGCACAACCTTCCCTCCACCAGTGTGAGGGGATCAATGTTCAGCCCAGCCTGGGGCTGCAGGATTCTTTGCTGGTGGATTGGGTTGGTTTTTCCCCCTCCTTTCTCCCTAGGAGCCAGAATTTCTGCAGAGGGGGAGAAAACGGGAAAGAAATGCCTCAATTTCTGGAGCACAGACAGATGGAAGGGAGCGAACCCAGGGTCAGACGCTGCCCAGATTTTAAAAAGCAAGTGGTGAAAACATCCCAGGCTCTCCCTCTTCCCAAAGCACTGTCTGTGTGCCACCCCCTGGCTTGGGTACCCAGGGGCTGCCAGCTGCCCTTCCAGCCTTTCATTCCAAAGCCCTGCAGCTCAGCAGCTGCTGAACCCCCCAGTGATGTCAGTGCACCAGTCAATATTTAGAGAAGCTGCCTGGTCCTCCAACCCCTGGCACCAGAGTGGCTGCAGGCTCGGGGTCACACCCAAGGGACAGATCCCAGAGGAAAAGCTGGCTGATGGCATTGCTAGCACAGGCCCCCCCCTTTGCAAAGATCCCCTTTAATCCCACCCGGATTGCCTTTGGGAATGGCCTCAGGAGGGGCTGGCTCCTTTTGTCAAGGGATTAACTCATTTTACCCACTCAAACTGCAAAACATCCCAAAGCAAGTGGAGGAGCTGGACAGGAGGGGTGTCCTGAGGCTCCAGGGTGGCTTTGGATTTACCTCCAGGATCACTTTGACAGTGAGAGAGCCAGCAGCAGGACCCTGGCAGTGCCCCGTGCCACGAACTGCAGCACTTGTCTCCTCTAGGAGAGAAAGGATTGCAACAGCACTCCTAAAAACTCATAAATCTGCCTGGAAAAAACACAGGAGTCAGGAACTGACTGGTTCCCTGACTTAGGGAACCCTGGCTTAGCCAGACTGATCTGATTCTTCCCCAGCCCTCAGTCATTACCAGCCCTTGGAGTCAGGGCTGGCAGATTCCTCCCTTGCAAGGCGGGAAAGGACAGGGGATTGCAGCCACGGTGTTTGCAGAAGAAAGCTTGGAAACACATCCCATCTGCACCCAAGAGACTGGAGAAACCCCACCACAGGAATCCCAGCCGGCTGCCAATTGGCTGGGGATGCTGTGGCTGGTTTTTGGAACTGCCTGGTGTTTGAGGTGTCTGGGCAGACATCCCTGAGCCACGCAGAGCATCCCGGCAAGTGCAGCCCAGCTGCAGGTGCTCACCCCTTCTGCGTGTCTCCAGCCTCAGCTTCCCCTGCCAAAACCCCCACTTAATTCTGGTAGTGATGCTCACAGTCCTCTTCTCTTCCAAGCATTTTGGGTTCTCTTGCAGGAAGAACACAGAGGATAACTCATGTGTCCAGCCTGGAGCCTCACACCCATACCTGTATAAGTGGGCTCTTCCCAGTCACTGCAGACTGTCCTGTTGCTGTTAATGCCCCCTAAAATAACCCCATCCCCTGCCATCCTCAAGCCAAAAGAATCACCAAACCCCCAAACTTCAAGTCTAGTTCTGCTCTCACTTCACCATCCCCTCCTGGTTTACACACAGGTATTGATGGAGGCAGCATTAAGCCCTTATTATCTAAATTAGGTTAAGAGCCGAGCTATCAGGCTCAAATTGATTAGAAAGAAATCATTAACAGCATTTTCCCAACAACAGCATGGCATTGATTATAACTTGCAACGCCTGAGTGCATCTTGTGTTGACTCTTCTGCTCGAGCTGTTACAGCTTATGCAAGAAAATAACTGGGAATACAAACGATGCTGGTGACATTTAATAAATATTTGGTAATTGAAGTGTGGTTACGGGAAGAAAACTCATTATATAAATATGGTTTCTTCTGACTCACCATTTCTGCTCCCTGGGCATCTCCTAGTCAGCTCTCTAAGACCTCACCAGCACTTGCCATTGCTTTTTTTGGCCTGAAAAATGTAGGTATTTAGGGAGAAGCTGAGATGGCTATTTGGTCCCCTGACTTAGCAGTGACTGTGCATTTTTGTTCCTGAGAACAAAAGACACAGAAACACAGCAGGTGGCTTTTTTTTTTTTTTTTTTTTTTAACTGCTACAAGAGAGCTGGTGGAAGTTTTCTCCCAAATATTAAACATTGCTCTGTTCATCCAAGACAAGACCTGCAAAGGTTTTCTTCCCATTCTTGAGAGATGATGCAAAAATATCGCTCCTGGGGGCAAAGAAATGATGGGGAAATGGGAGCCAAGCAGGCTGGGAGGCAATATCACCTAATCCAGGGTTGGAACAGCCAAACCAGGGCAGGGTACCAGCCTTGCAGCCCCTTGGTTTTGTTCACCTGCAGCTCACCCTCCTTCTGCCTTCCCAGATTTACCAGAGGGCTGTTACTTTTTCCCCAGTTCAAGCTGGGCATTATCAGGATTTCTCCCACCCCCAATGTACCACTTCATTTGGAACAGGAGTCACACCCCCAGGTGTTGCTTTAGAACTGTCAGGTGCCCAGCAAGGTGCAGCAGATACACTGAAACCCGAGCGATGCTGAGCAGCTGGAACCAGCTGGAGCCCCAAGGTTTAGCATTTCTCAAGGTCCAGCCTGGCCTGAGTGGGGCTGGCATTAAAACACTGCTTTGTTAAGGGCAGAGAAGCCCCCAGGGGAAGGATAAAGCTGGCAGGAGTGGCAGAGCCAGGCTGCCAAAGTGCAGCCTCTGGTTTCAGCTGCCTGATCACTCCTGCTGACCTCCAGCTTCCCTCTCCCAGCCCACTGCAGAGGATGAGCAGTTTTGGTGCACATTTACCCCCTGCAAAGACCCCAGAACGTTTCAGACCGAAGCAACCTGAATTTGGACCCAAACAACCCATCCCTGCAGGGTTGGGGTGGGGAGTTAACTCTGCCAGAGGCATGGAAAATAACCTGGTGGTGATGAGGAAGGCTCAGCAGCAGCCCTGGAGGTGGGGAGGGGAGGGGAGTGTGAGGCACCACAGTCTCTGCTCCCGGGGTCTCCAGAGAGAGAATGTTTAAGGAGAGGGGGAATTCCTAGCGCTGGTGGCTGAGGCAAAGGGCTGTTCATCCATCTGCTCGGTGCTAACAGGTGGCTCAGGAGCAGGACTGTGCATTACTCAGCCCGTGGTTTATTTACTATTCGGTCCCGGCTCCCATCCAGAAGGGAGTGAAAGCCATCCCCTTGCAGCGCGGCTCTTCCCCTGCAGCAGTGCAGGCATTAACTCCCTCTGTCCCTCCTCTCTGGGGGCACCAGACCGACGGGACATGACGGTGCCCAGCCTGTGCACACCCAGGCTCGTTGGGTGTGGGAAAAGGTCCCCGAACACTGACTGAACCCCACAGATCGACCCTGCAGCCTCTGCCTCAGGGATTTACAGCCCCTACACAGCAAGGGAAGGTGGGAACAAAGCCAAGGTCCCCTCACCCTGTCCCTCTGCTCGCTCGCCCTGGTCCCGGGCGTCCCAGGGCTGGGGGGATCAGGAGGACGAGGGGAGACCCGGCAGAGGGAAGAAAAGGGGGGATAGGAGGGGGTGGAGAGGTTGTGGGGATGGAGGAAGTGGGGAAACAACGGGTACAGGGACAGGAGGGGACAGAGGGATGAAGGAATGAAGGGATATGTGCGCAGGGGGGATGGAGGATTGAAGGGGATGGAGGGGACAGAGAGGCAGCGAGGGCTCCAGGAGTGCA